GAGTAACTGGATTTATGTTGAGGTCTTTGATCCACTTGCACTTAAGTTTTGTGCACAGTGACAGATAGGGATGTATTTGCAATCTTCTACATGTTAACATCCAGTTATGCCTGCACCATTTGTTGAAGATGCCATCTTTTTTCTATTGTACAGTTTGGGCTTCTTTGTCAAAAATTAGGTGTTCATGCGTTTTGGATTAATATCAGGGTCTTCATTTCAATTCCATTGGTCCACATGTTGTTTTTTATGCCAGTACCAAGCTGTTTTTATTACTGTAGCTCTATAGTAGAGCTTGAAGTCAGTGATCATGATGCCTCCAGAGGTTGTTTTATTGTATAGGATTCTTTTGGCTATGCTGGGTTTTTTGTTTTTACATATGAAGTTGAGTATTGTTCTTTCCAGGTCTGTGAAGAATTGAGTTGGGATTTTGATGGGGCTTACATTGAATCTGTAGATTGCTTTTGGTAAGATTGCCAGTTTTCTATGTTATTCCTACCTATCCATGAGCATGGGAGATCTTTCCATTTTCTGATATCTTCAATTTTTTTCTTCAGGGACTTAAAGTTCTTGTCATCAGGTCTTTTCACTTGCTTAGTTAGTGTTACCCTAAGGTATTTTATATTATTTGTGGTTATTGTAAAGGGTGATGTGTCTCTGATTTCTTTCTCAGCCCTTTTATCATTTTTATATAGGAGGGCTACTGATTTTTTTGAGTTAATCTTCTATCCTGCCACGTTACTGAAGGCGTTTATCAGCTGTAAGTGTTCCTTGGTTGAATTTTTGGGGTCACTTATGTATACTATCATGTCATCTGCAAATAGTGAAAGTTTGATTTCTTCCCCTCCAATTTGATTTCCCATGATCTCCTTTTGTTGTCTTAATTGCTCTAGTTAGAACTTCAAGTACTATATTGAATAAATATGGGGAGAGCAGACAGCTTTGTCTTGTTCCTGATTTTATGGAATCACTTTGAGTTTCTCTCCATTTTCTTTGATGTTGGCTGTTGGCTTGCTGTAAATTGCCTTTATTATGTTTAGGTATGTTCTCTATATTCCTGATCTCTCCAAGACCTTTATCATGAAGGGGTGTTGGATTTTGTCAAAGACCTTTTCAGCATCTAATGAAATGAACATATATTTTTTTCTTTCAGTTTGGTTGTATGGTGTATTACATTGACAGATTTTCGTACATTAAACCAACCTTACATTTCTGGGATGAAGCCTACTTGATCATGGTGGATAATTGTTTTGATGTGTTCTTGGAGTCTATGTGCCAATATTTTATTGAGTATTTTTGCATCAATGTTCATGAGGGAGATTGGTCTGTAATTCTCTTTCTTTGTTGCATCTTTGTTTGGCTTGGGTATCAGAGTAACTGTAGCCTCATAGAAGGAGTTTGGCAACATTCCTTCTGTTTCTATTGTGTGGAACAATTCAAAGAGTATTGGTATTAACTCTTGTTTGAAGATCTGGTAGAATACTGCGTTGAAACCATCTGGTCCTGGGCTTTTTTTGGTTGGGAGACTTTTAATGACTGCTTCTATTTACTTACGGGTTATAGATCTATTTAAATAGTTCATCTGGTCTTAATTTAACTTAGGTAGGTGGTACCAATCCAGAAAATTGTCCATTTCTTTTAGATTTCCTTTTTTGTGGCATACAGGGTTTTGAAGTATGACCTGATGATTCTCTGGATTTCCTCATTGTTAGTTGTTATATCTCCCTTTCCATTTCTGATTTTTGCTAATTTGGATGCTCTCTCTCTTTGTCTTTTGGTTAGTTTGGATAAGCCAAAGAGCTGTACAGCTGCTTAATATGGTTCATTTCTTTGGCATGACCCAAGCATGTGCACTCTCTCTCCTCAGGCCCAAAATGACATTACTGTGTCCTCTTCCATAGATTATTTTTATTCATTCCTCAGTTGTTATTGTTGTTAGTTTCATCTTGTTGGTTTTTTGAGACAGGGTTTCTCTGTGTAACAGTCCTGGCTGCCCTGGAACTCTCTCTGTAGACCAGGCTGGCCTTGGACTCACAGAGATCTGCCTGCCTCTGCCTCCTGAGTGCTGGGAATAATGTCATGGATCATTAATACCCACATTTTGTTTGTTTGTTTGTTTTAGCTCAAAATGTCCTTGGTGACCACCCTTTTAGAATGACTCCTCATTTTTCTATGTCTGCACATGTTGAGTTTTCTGAGGATGTTCATTCCCCTATAGTAGTCATATTTTATTTACTGATTGTTCATTATGGTGCATTTGCATTCTCCTCAAAGTCAGATATCACAGGTAGTATATTCTCCCTTGAACATGGGGCCAAGGGAATGCATTTCGACTTGGTGAGCCATATATATATATATATCTCCAAAAGAGTGATCTCAGGAGAAAGGACAATTTTCATTACTCATGGGACAGGCCTTCATTCAGTTCACATAGTGTTGTATATTGGATCCTCCAACACTGAGAAGGTACTCACAACTGGTTTTTATTTGTTTGTTTGTTTGTTTTTGTTTTTATAGGTGGGAAGCCTTTCATCTCTCTGAAGGGCCCAGAGCAGCGGACAGCCACTTTAAATTCAGTGACATTTACCTGCACCGCTGGCCTTTTCCACTCCAGGAACCTCAGTGTTAACTGGTTAAAGGACAATAATAAACATCCAGCTTTGGTTCCACAAGTGGTGCCTATCAACAGAGACATTTTCTATGTCACAAGCAAGGCATCAGTGACATTGGCCAAACAAGATATCTTTTCTCAGATCACCTGTGAAGTCACCCATGTGGACCTCAATGAGCCCCTAAAAATGACCATCGATCTTTCTCAAGTGCTCCTAGGTGAGTGATCACTGATATACGTGGTGGGGCCACACTGATATCATGGAGGTTTGGCCAAAAGCCCCATTTTACAAATGGGGAATAGAAATTGATCACTGCCAGCTTTGAACACATGAATATGGATTAAAAGTACAGATTCCATGGGCTGGCTACCTGGGCTTTGAACTTAACACTATCATTTCATAGGCTGTAGAACATTGCTCATGTGTCTTAATTATTCTGTGCCCACTTTCCTAAAAAATTAGAAATAAAACTAACACCTACTTTTGAAGTCTCCTCTGAAACTTAAACCAGTTGTTCTTCTAGAAAACCAAGAAGCATGCCTAATATACTGTAAGTTGGTTATGAATGTTTGACCTTGCTATTGTAGGGACCTAGAATGCCTCTCTAAACATATTTGTCACATTTATAGCATAGCTAATGTTTAAAATTTCTAAATATTTATTATTAGCTGGAGATTGTGATATACAGCATGTAACCTAAGCTCCTTGGGGAATAGGCAGGGATATAACAAGTTCCAGTCCTGTCAGGGTTTAGATTGAGTTCAAAACCATCCTGGGAAACTTAATGAAATAGAATAAAATAGGTGAAAAACAAGCCTGAGGGTGTACTTCTGTCTTGGAGTACTTGTCTTCTATGCATAGGATCCTGAGTTCTGGAAAATCTCCGGCACTGTGTAAAATATTATTCACTCAATAAACAATGAAGAGCTACTGTGTGCCAGGCACTGTTGTAGGTGTTGTGCTTATAGATTGCCTGTCCTTTTGGGGCAATTCATTTTAATAATTCTTATAATTATATGTCACAATGTCAAAATATGGAATATTTAACTCTGACCAGATTAGATACCCATGTGTTTCCAGCTACGTTTCATGAATATTTATACTTCTCCCTATTTGTCATACATGAAACATATACAAAGTTGTTTATTTAAAAAGAGAGTGAACTTGTGAACACTCTTCCCTTGGGAACTCACAGCACCTGTACAAGAATTACACAAGATCAAGCCATTTGACATTCCAGCATGAAATGGAGGTCTTCATGGACCCCTGCCTTCTAGCTGTGACCTCCTGACAGCTTGTAGTCTCTGAAGGAATAACAGTGAGGTTTCTTTATGGGCGTGGCCCTGGTAGGTCAAGCATGCTCCACTGTCCCCAACCCATGAATATATAGGCAGCTCAAATTTGACTGGCTGGATATAAGAAAAGAAAAGAGGGGCTGAAGGGATGGCTTAGTGGAGGCAGAAGGTTCAGGAACTCAAGGTCATCCCTGGCTACATAGTGAGTTCAAGGTCATCTTGGAATTCTTGGGACCCCATCAACAACCAATTGATCTAAAACAAAATTTTAACCCTGGGACAGGGAAATAAGACAGTACCAAGATTTCACCTCTCTTCACTTATTGTTCCTGTCTAGTTATCCCCACACTGAAGATCACCACTGAGCCCTCAGAGATCCGTGACCATGGGCATCAAAGAGTGAACCTGACTTGCCATGTAAACTACTTCTACCCCCAAAACGTGCAACTCACCTGGGCTAAGAATGGGCACAACATCCTGACTCCTGAGCTCTCTCAGGCCACAAGAAACTCTGATGGGACATACTCTCTAAAGCACACATTGCAGGAAGATTCCGTATTGGATGAAAGCATCTATAGCTGCCTGTTGTACCAGTATGATCAGCATCCACAGAGCATCAGCATCACCCTGGGAGCACAGGCCTCCCATAAGCGTAGAGGTGTGTGCCCTGTCTCCTTTGTATCCTAAGGGCATTGCTGCTATGGTTGATCCTTCTGTAATATATATATATATATATATATATATATATATATATATATATATTATATGTATATGTATATATATTTGGTTAAAATAAACCTATTAGGCCAAAACAAGGCAGGACAAAATTAGGTAGGACAATCAAACTGGGTACTGGGATTAAGCAGTGCAGAGTCGAGAGAGACATGAGCCAGCTGCCCAAAGAGAAAGATGCCAGAGAATGGTAAAACTATGGACCATGTGGCAATACATAGATGAATAGAAATGGGTTAATTTAAAAGTTAAACTACTTAATAATAAGCATGAACATCTGACTGAGCATTTAGTGATTAATATAAGCTTCTGTGTGTTTATTTGGGACCAGACAGTCAGGACAGAAAAGCTCTACCTCCATTTAAACATTGTCATCGATTGACTAGACACTCAGGAAACCCTGGGTGAAAGTGGAGAAAGGAAGCCCTCCCTAGTGAGAACGCTGTTGCATAGCCAAGCCCAACTGCACCCCATTTCCTCCAGATACATGCAAAAAGAAATGAGTCTCCTTTGCTGTACTCATCATATTGCAAGTTTTTCTTCTTAACCCTTGGTTGTAAGAAATTGCCAAGGTTAAGGATACCCGGGCCCCAAATAATTTCCGGGAACATAACTAATCACACAGTGAATTCAGCTGGATGTTTCTTAAAAGCAACTTTGAAGACCTCCAGAATGATTGACTCCCTTAGCTAGGAAAAAGGATCACACAAAGTGGGTGGAAATCCCCTCTGTACTCCCTTCTCTCTGCTCCCTGTTGTTTTTCTCCATGCACACATGCTCCTAGTGGTCATTTCTTCTATTTATTCCCCCAGATATATACTATTTCGTCCACAAGGGGGCACTGTGACGTTACCAGCCAGAGCTTCCTTATTTCTTTGATCCAGATGTGCTTCACACTCTAGGGAGAAGGAACCACTGTTCTGAGCAGAGGTGTTGGTGCAGGTGCACAGTCACAGAGAGACAGAATAATAGTCGGGCATGGGCAAGCCAGGGGTGAGGCAGCGGGTGGGATCCCTGCAGTGTACAGCAGGGCAGGTGGCTACCTGAGAAAGAGTGGAGGTGCCAGGCAACCCAACAGCCGTTCTCACAGCAGGCTGGCACCTTGATTTCTGTCCAGCCCTGTGCAGAACCAGCCTTATTCTGGTTGCTGTAAGAATTCTCAAAGGGAATGATCCCACAAGCCTTCAAATTTCTTTAGGTCCTATTTTCACTGCCCACTAGAAATGAGAATAATATTCACCCAGTGAGCTGTACAGATCTGGGTGACAAACTCCAAAATAATACTTTTCATGGGAAACAAGTTGCATCATTTTTATTAAAGTTTTCTATTATAATACTGTTTTGACAATTGTATACACAACTAGTGTTTACATCAATTCCACTCCACACTTTCCCCCCAATTCCTCCATATCCTCCATTCCCTCTCAACTTCACAATCTCTTTACTATTGTCATATATGTATGTGTGTATACTTGCATACATATGACCTGTGAATAATTCATACTAGGTTTTTCTTTATGTCTTATTTTCCTCCTGCACCTGCATTTAGTATATCTGACCCCCCACTGAAGGATGGACCCATGGCAGCATCACATTGACAGTTCCAGACAGCACAGGTCCACTGGGGTGGTTTCCTCTCTGACACTGAGGCTCCTTCTATTTGGTTCTAGCACATCTTTGG